CTGCTGCTGCTGCTGCTACTACTACTATTATTATCATTATTATTATTACTACTACTACTAGTAGTACTTGAACATAAACTCTCTTGCATTGCACGCAAAGTTATAAGGATTGTCCATGATTGTTAGATGAACAACTAATACTAATCATCATATCTAAAATACTTAATTGCAGGAAGCTACGTGTATATCGAGACATCTTCACCTCGACAATATGGAGATAACGCAAAACTGGAATTTTCAGTGTCGAATTCTGAAATTGGGAAGTTGGCCTGCCTGAGGTTTTATTATCACATGTATGGGGAAACAATAAACACGCTCAATGTCTACAATGGAATTACCAGGACGTTTACTAAATCTGGAAACCAAGGAAACGAATGGTTGAACGCGAAACTCACCATGACTTTGCAAGCCAGAGTAAGTTGCATTTATTTTCTTAAAAACCTGTAGCATCAAATAAGTTAGTGCAAACATACAGACACGTTAAAAATAAATAACAACGTGACTGTAGTGTTATTCCAATTTTAAAATGCTACGGTAAAGTCCTACAACTAGTAACATGTGCGTACATGCACATGTTCCAGATTAAAACTTTCCGCAAACATACATAAAAAACGAAGAAGAAACACCAAACATTGCCGCACATGACATTTGTTCTTTGACAAGTCACCACAGATTTACTTTCCACTCATTACTGCACCATCTTGATGGGCTGATCTCCTTAAAATTGTTGTCTTATATATACAATTGTTTCTACCCGTTTGGATTCTGTTCGCTAAAAGGTTAATAACACAATACGTAGTGACACAATTGCTACCAGGTTTCAATATTTGAGCCAACCACTCGGTTATCAAACTGCAACCTTTATTACATAATACCCGGGGGGGGGGGACTCCCTTATATGGGCTATATAGGTATGTGCGACCACAAAGGGTAGGGTTGTTCACCCGTTTTGGTCATAAATAGGGTATCGATTTTGGCCATTTTGGTTATAAATAGAATACGATGAAGCCTTTGCATGAACTTGTGCATTAGCACAAGCATAACCATAGGCGTACATCTAAGCATAAATATAAGCATAAGCAACACACATAGACGTAGATGTTGCTCATTAGTGCCCTTACGAAAATTTCCCAACGAAGTTGCTTTTTAAAGCCCCACCTTATACTTTATCAACATCTGCGCGTGTTGCTTTTTTTATGCTTACGCGCTGATAAAAGAAAAACGGCTTTAGAGGTAGCTCGTTTTAGCACATTATTCTTGCTAGAGTATGTGGTCAGTTATATTATACTAGCAAGCTTCTGGTTTGGTAACTACTTGAATTCAAACTCAAACTGAATTCAATGTATTGCACGTAAATGTAGGCAACGGGTTTTGGGCATAATACCATGGTATTATCCCCGGGGGTTGATTCCAGAAACGTTGGGTGGGGTTGTGAAGCCCATTTTCTAGAGCCCTTACCCTCTTCATGACCAAAATCTGCGTTTTTTGCTACCTTATTTATGACCTGACTGAAAATTCGATAGCCTATTTATGACCGCTGCGGCTGACATAGTTGCTCTAAACATAAATTATGAAGGACTTTTGTTGCCGGTCTTATTGATAATGATGACAAAGTAAAAGAAGAGTGCTAAAATCATACCCTATGCTTACTGGTTTTGTTTCTGGGTGTGGCTATGGCTATGCTTGTCCTATTTACTGTAGCCTGCGAAGTAAGCGTTCCCGTACAAAGAGTTTTTCCGCATCCTGACCGCGCGTAAATTGGAGCAAGAGCAATAGTTCGACGAAGCAGGGGGTGGTGGGGCGAGAGAAGGAACGCTTGCCCGCAAACCCCTAGATTTTGAAACGCCCGTTCGCCCACGAACGGGGCTCCTGATTGGTGCGGTGTGGTCATCTTGGTTGACAAGTGTGTCAAGTTCACTTGAGTGATTCCAGAAATAACTCGAGCGTGACTTGCACAATATCGCGGAGGAAGGTTTGCCTGAGCGAAAATTTTTGGATGATACGTATTGATTTTACTCAGAAGACACCATCTTTTAGAGGGTAAATACTTGATGACTCTATTACCCACCTGTTCCAGCGAAAGTTCTACATTTTTCAGCTCTTTTTCTAACTATCGGTCGTGCGCGAAGATCAAAAAGGAACCACGGAAGGAGAACCAATCTTTGATAGTCTTATTTGGCAACCTCGCCTAGCTTTACTGAGTCGTTCTCCGTGTCCAGATAAAGTGAGACCGAATGTTAGAAGCCGGCGACTAGCTGTTTTGCTCTCGCGGCCAGAATGCGGAAAGGCTCTTCGTTCGGGAACGCTTGCTACGCAGGCTATATGTACTGGTGCTGGTACCTATGCCTGTGTCTGTGCCTAAACACTACGGAAAACCAGCTTTAACAACACGTTAAGTAAAAAGCATTAGGTGTCTTATCGTGCAAACGTTGTACAATACTAAGGTGTCGTTTAATTCCCACTTAGATTACGTTCGAGGGCATTCGTGGATCCTCCTTTACAGGTGACATTGCTATTGATGACGTATCCATTGTCAGTGGAATCTGTCAAGGTACATTTGGAATTGGTTATAACTTATGTGCATAGCTGATATTAAATGAGAATCAAATTGCCCCCTTAAATTATGATGTTGCGCCCTTTAGACTCTGTTTGAAATGACTGGTAGACATAACTAAGCGAACTTACATACCCGATGCCTTAGATGACAGTCACTTTCACTTTCTTAATTATAAATATTCCATCGATAAACCGTCAACGAGCAAAACTTTTCAAAGATGTCTGAGTCATTGTTTAAGTCATATGGTTGGTGTTTATCATCTTATGCGTACAGTCCAAAAAGTGAGTTAAGCATTTCACTTAATAAAATAACTGAGCTACTACGCGTGCTCTCATTAGTCGATAGGTGTGTTTAGATGAGANAGAATGCAAAACAAAACTTCTGGGTAATTTATCAAGCACAGACCATCTAAGACCAAATAACTATCTGTCAACAGGCAAATAAGAACAAGGAAAGAAATGCCACGTTTTTTTTTTTATTTTCAGCAGTAAAATGTTTCCCGACGTGAAATTTGTATGCGTAATAGTTGACTCAGGCTGCGTCCCCGTCAACTATCACGCGATAGAAATCTCAAGCTCACAATCTAAGTGTTTAATGGTTGACGAGGGCGAGCCCGAGTCAACTATCACGCATAGAAATCGAGAGCGAATAATCTAATTGTTTTAGTACAAATCCACTAGTCGTTCAAAACTTTATCTAAACGTCTTCACAGACACTTCGAAAACGCCAAGAAGCGGCCGTCATTTTGTTAACAAGGGCACACTGCTACGCCGACTCAGTATCTATCACAGAACAGATAGTGGGCAGCGTAGCCAATCAGAGAACGGCATTCGTGATAGATCGCTAGTAGATTTATACTAAAAATAAATAGTAAATATGTTCTCCGTGTTTCTATCGTGGAAGTTTGGGAGAACTCGGAAAAGCTTGCGTCTGTCGGCCCGTGTTCCGACAGCATTGCTCGTTCTCCCAAACTTCCACTCATGTTCGTTTTTAACAATTAGATTATGAGCTCGAGATTTCTATGAGGTGATAGTTGATGAGGCCGAAATTTTAGTAGAATTCTCACTGAAATTTACTTCAAATAACGATTCCCAATCACTGCTTCTCGACGTATTATTAAACTTTGCGCCTTAGAAAGATAGCTTGGATTGGAAATTGAAGTTGTGCGCGCGTGCATAATCCTTGAAATGATTTCAAGTTTTTATAAAGTCAAGAAACCTTTAATGTCCTTCTTTTAGTCTTCCTAGGAATTAAATTATCCATTTGTATCAAAATGTTCTTTCAAAACTTGTCAAAAACGACAGAACGTCGCCATTTCATATACGACCTCCAACCACTGAACACTAATGGCTGATAGTGTGTAATGGCTCAGCCAATCAGATTACAGCATTTGCATTAGTATACTAATAGAATTATACTAAAACTCAATAGAAACACGGTCCATGTTTGCTATTCCTTAAATAAACACCCCTGATTTGGCTATTGTAACTTAATGTGATATGCCTAAAACACAGATACATCAGTGCATGTTGGCTTTAGACTCAAACCCGATGCATCTTACGAGGTCTTTTTATTTCCCACTTAGATTACCTTCGAGGGGATTCGTGGACTCTCCTTCACAGGCGACATTGCTATTGATGACGTATCCATTATCGATGGAATCTGTCAAGGTATATCTCGAATTATCGCTATTTGTTCGCCTTGGCTCTCTCCAAACATCACGGACTGTGGAAACCTTTTCTTCCCTTTAACTCGGTTCTTTTTTTAAATGTTCAGTTCTTTATTGTTCGGGAAAAGCTAAAATCACGATACTTTCGCAATGTTTAATTTTACAATAACTGTCAGACTTCTTGCAAGCTCGTTGACTCATGTAATGCAAACCCTCGACTACATATCGGGTTTGCATTACTGCGTCGAATTCTACCAACCCTCCTCGTTTTTAGTTGAGGCTAAAAAACACGGAGAAAATTCTTTATTGCCTAAGCATGCAACATATTACACATGAGAGAGCGTGTTTTACCACATTTCTAAACACCGAGTTGAGAGTTTGCGAATCCGCAGCGGCGTATTTTTGACGAACCTGAAGGTGTTTAGAAATGTGGTGAAGCATTGTCTCGAGGGTTTCATATAATTTCTCAATCAAAACTAAAACTAAGTAGAAAAATGGGAAATAAAATCGTAAAAGTCTACGCAAACAACTACGAAATGTCCAAACACTGTCAATCTTATGACTTGCTTTGTTTAAGATTGAAGAATTATTAATGAGTTTCAGAAGGTGCTAAGGCGATTTTACACAGCCTGTTTTAGGCTCTCGGTCAGTGAGGACAATCGAAAAAGCGGGTGGGTGACCAGCGGGGTCTGGTAGAGAAATTAGATCTCGCTCATCGCCCGCCCGCTTTTTCGATCGTCCCCATTGAACGAGAGCCTGGAACAGGCTAGTTTTCATGTTTTGTTTTCTAACCCAAATCATAACATTAAACAAATGCCAACAACGCATAACAATCGACAGATATTGATTGGCCGATACATTTTCTTTCTTATTTTCAGAGTGTACTGAAAACGTGAATCAGTCCTTTGGGAGACTGGATATCAGTTACTCGAACAAATTTGACCCATACTGTAACTGGATAATTGGGAATGCTGGGATACCTCAGGCAGTTGCCATTGTTTCCATCCATCAAATGCACTTCAGTGGTTACGGCAGGTATATAACTTGCCTTTTTGTTTGTTCTAATGCCATCATCTTGGTTAAAGGCTTTGTTTAGCTTTACAGTCACTAATAATCGTCAAATATTATGATTACCCGCCAGTCATGTGTTGAATGGAAATATTTATAGTTCCTATAGTGTGATCGTCCAGGTGAGGGTAGTTCTGAAAGGAACTGTTGTTGGTGGACGATCACACTATACGAACTAGTTATATTTATAACCCCGAGTTCAAGCCATTCACTAACTAGGAAATGTTCCTATAGGAAATAATATATTAGTATCAAACAAATCGTGTTCTCTCGAATGCAGTTAAGTTAATTTGATTTATCTCCACTAAGTGGAGCGGAAAATAACATTAGACCGAGGCCGAAACTATTTTATACGATAAGTACGCCTTAATAAAACTTTTCTACATATTTTCACAGTGAATACGTAAAAATGTTTGATGGATATGGCACCGAGGTTTTTGTCCGCCATGGATGGAATTCCACTTCCTCTAACAAGAGTTCGAGTTTGCAGCAAATTTCCTTCGAAGACTCAAAAAATATCACCATTCAGGTCTCTCTCGTCAACCAATGGAGCTATGTCAAAATATCTTACGGCACTCTGAAGAAACCTCTGAATTTAGGTAGGGAATAAGTTTGCTGCTGGTGATGTACGGCCTTGCCCGCTTCGCAAAATAAACTAAGCACCCTACATGCTTGTGGTAAAGCTTGTCTTTGTAGATCAAATCATCTGCAAATGTTTTCTCTAATTGATTTTTTTTTTGTAATCACTGGGCAATGGAAAAATGCAAAAACAAATCAAAAATGGGATTTTCTGTCCTTGTCACTTTGAACCATTTCCAATACCAGCAATAAAATACTCATCTGTTTGTTGGTTAAGTCATTTGTCTAATTATTATTATTATTATTTTTTTTTTGATGGTGTTGGATAAATTTTATTAACTTTGAACAAAAACACTTCTACTGCAGCTTTCCTCCTGGCTGGCTGGAGCGTAACCGTTGTAAGCAAATCAGCAAAAAGTATCGGGGTAAGCTGGAGTAGCCCAACCAGTCTCCTCAACAGTGGAATTCGTTTTTACGTTGCTCTCGCCAAAAAGCCTAACAGCAGCAGCGAGCAAGTTGGCAAAATAGTGACTGAAAATGTTACAGCATCGGAGATAACTGAACTGGATGAGTACGCCGAGTATAACGTTAGTGTTGTAGCTGTGGATAGCAATGGAGTGCCTTTTAAAAGTGCAGAGGTCTTAGTTATGACCGATGAAGGAGGTGAGTAACACTTCAACCCAATTGTTACTCTGTTTAAACAATGTCAAAGCATCAGACCATTCCATGTGGTTTCTTTTTCAGTTCCTAGTAGAGCGCCAAATGGTCTTCAAGTGACAAGCTTTGAGTTTACATCCGACCTTCTGGTGGAGTGGAACCCTCTTTCCCAGCAATACGCCAATGGTAAACTCTTAGGGTACACAATCTACTATCGAGACTACAACATTTTTTGGTCAACATATAAAAGTGTCAACACAAGTAATCCTTCCCCTACACGATTTACCTTGAAAGGACTTAAGCCAGCACACGAGTACCTC